GACAGCCAGCCGCAGGAGCGGCAGCAGCTGCGTCCAGTGATGCACCTTCAGCACTACCAGCACTTCGAGAAGCTGATGAGGAGACTCTTCGTGGCATTTTCGTCGAAGCAGGTGTGTCTGATGGCGAGGTGGCAGCCCGGATGGACATGGACAAGTTACGCGTCGCAGCTAACATCATGCACAAGCGAGTCTCTCGGTTCAGTCCATGCGATTGAGTTCGGGAATGGCATGGTCTCTTGGAATGTTCACCTGTCGGTCATCATAGCGTGCTCTACTCAAAATGGACAGCATGCCGGGGTGGTGCTTGAAGATTGTTGGCGCCATTGCGTGGCCACGCGGGATGATCTTCGCCGAGCGACTTCGAGACTTACTGCAGCATTCTCAGGATCAGATACTTGCAGGTATTTTCAATTTGGCATGGGCAGTTTGATATTGGATATTGCTCTTGCTATTCCCACGGCGACGGCTCCCCCGCCTGGGCGTGACTCCCAGGAATCTCGGGCTCCAACCGACCTGGGTTGGCCCAATCTGCCGGACGGCCACCGCGAGGCCTGCTCCCAGGGCGCTCTTCCTCGTCGCCGGAAAGGGAAGGTTAGTGGAAACGAACGCAGCGGAATCTCTCGGCCACTGCGCCTCCTCCTGGAATGGGCCTGCCTCCACCTGGGCCCTTTGAAGGTATTCCGGAGCGTCGGGGGCGAGCTAGGGGCGATTGCGCAGATGCGAGAGAAGTTCTTCGCGCGCGGGCTGCTGCGCGGGTGGGTGACCTGGTGTCTGGGCCGCAGTTCGGCGCGCAGTGGATGCAATGGTGTGAGCAATTCCCTGGCGATATGTTCAACGCAGATCGCAGTGGCGGTTTGATGCGATTGCTTCGTCGCCGTCTTCTTCATCGGACGCTCGCGCAACTATTGCGCGAGCTATGTTCCAGCGCGCGGAGGCAGACCGCCCAGGCGACGAGCTTTTCTTCAGCTGTTGGCTGGGGCGTCGGATTGGGTGGCAGAAATGCAGCGTTGGAGTAGGTTGGCAGAACTTCGTGGCATGACGAGAAGGTTTCTAGGTGAACGGGCTCCTGATTGCCGACCAGCTCCACGAAAGCCAGCCCCCGTCGATGATCGAGCGGCAGATCAGTCTGATATGCTTGGTGGCAGCGAGGCGTGCGAGGCGTCTCCCCCCGGCCATGGTGGACCTGATCAGCCTCGACGTCGCAGCGCTCGTGATGCGCAGACTCACGCAGAAGATATCAAAGTCCAGGGCCTGCGATCTTGGCTATCATGGCTATCGTGGCTCGCGATCTTGGCGATCATGGTTGCTGGGCGCCTGCGTCAGACGCGGAAGCTGGGGGCGCTCGGGCAGGAGTAGCGATCCTGGCAACCGCGGATATATATATATATATATATATATATGTATATATATCCGTATCCATTTTGGCTCAAGCTTGCACCCTTGGTCAGGTCCAAGGGTTGAGGGCTCGAGTCGATTGTAAGACTACATCTGCTTCCAACGCTCACCACCTCCCAGAGTCAGTGCCTTTTCTGATTGCGCTCGCCCTGGCAGCAAGGGGCTGCCCATGGCGCAATGGAAGTCTTGGTCGGCCGCTGGCTCTGGCACCTCGTTTTCCTCACCTTCGCCATCGACCTCCGAGTGGCGCAGGGACCCATCCGGCATGTGGCATTGGATTGGGGGTCGTACCCAGCAGTCCAAGCAGCAGACCCCTCGCACGTGGACCTGCATCGGGTGCAAGTCCACGAATCATTCCAAGCACGTGTGCAATACGTGCGGCATGCGGCGCACCTGGGCCGAGGCTGCCAGGTCCGCCATGCAGCCCTCGGAGCCGCCAGCATCGGCTCCCTTGCCGACGAGAGTGCTTCAGAATCCCGTGCAGGCCCAGCTGCAGGCGGTCGCGGCCAAGCTCTCGCAGAGTGCTGGCCTTGCGCCTGTGACCGTGCAGGCGCCGGAGGCAGCTTCCTCCCCGCCACTTGCACCGCCGGCGGCCGTGGCCGGCGCAGCCGAAGGGGCCGCTTCCGCCGGCGACCCGCCGGCCAAGAAGGATATCGTCGCCACGGTCAAGCAGCTCGAGTCGACGCTGGCGGCCATGCCAGACGATCCCGAACTGCAGGAGGCGCGCCAAGCTATCCAGGCGCGCCTGGGCGCCAAGAAAAAGCAGCTCGGGGACCTCCGGCCAGTCGGGAAGAGGCTGGACGATGCCCGTGCTGCATTGGAACGTGCGTACAAGCGCCAGGCTGCGGCAGCGGACGGGCTGACGCTGGCGCAGAGAGCTGTCGAGGCGGCGGCCGAGGAGGTGACGTCCATCAAGAAGGCCGTCCAGGAGCTGGAGCAGCAGGTGTCGTCTGCGCACGCTGCCCCCCAGCCCGCCCCGATGGGCGACGGCGACCCGCTCGACCTCCTCAAGCAGCAGCTCAACGCAGCAGTGCATGCTCTGAGCCAGCACGCTTCCGTCTCGCCTGCGGCGGTCCAGGAGGCGCAGAAACAGTCGGAGGACATCTTTGCCAAATTTCAGGTGACCCTCGAGCATGCCCGGGCGCAGCCAACGCCACGACGTGCTGCGGGCAAGCAGCGGCCTCCGCTCCTCCGCGAGCGGCTCAACGGCAAGCAGCCTGCCAAGAGGTACATCACGGAGCCCTTCACCAAGCGGCTCCGGCGCCGTGGCCTCGCCAGGGCCAGGTCTTTTTCCCCCAGCCCGGGCGCGGGGTCAGCGCAGGCGTAGCCTATGCTGACGATCCCGCGGAGCAGCCAGGCGGTCAGGGCCTCCGCAGGTGCGGATGTGATGATCCCTCCCTTGAGGACGTCACGGCATTGGCTGTCGCATTCTCATGCGCGAGCGCGAATGTTTAACATTGTACCCACATCAACTCACGCGCTCCTATGCCAACGTGAGTGGTGTGTGCATGCGCAGCAAGGTGACTCTTCTTGAACAGCAGTTTCACGATCGATTCATTGACGTAGTTGGTGTTCAGGAGGGGCGTTCCCCGAGCTCGGAGCAGACCGATGGCCAGTACTATACCATGCTGGCTGCCGCGTCTGAGCCCGACGGTTCCCTTGGAGTGCAATGTTGGGTTCACCATCGTGCCCACGTGCGCTTCTGGCATGCTGCCTCTTCCCGCGTCCTTTACGCGGTAGTCCGCATTGGCCGCCTGGAGCTCGGTTTCCTAGTGGCTCATGCTCCGCACTCGCTGGCTAGTGAGTCTGTCCGTGTCCAGTGGTGGGCGGAGCTCACCCGCGTGCAGTTACAGCTACTTCAGTCTCACCCCTTGCCGTGGATAGTGTTGATTGATGCGAATGGCCGGGTCGGCTCAGTGCCCTCGCGCGCGGTAGGCCCCAGTCAGCCCGAACATGAGAATTCGAACGGCACGTTGCTGCGCACATTTGCCGAAGATTTCAGTTTGCGTATCAGCAACACTTGGGGGGAGGGTGGGCACACGTGGACGTCCACGCATGCCACCACTTCTCGCATTGATTATGTACTTGTGCCAGAAGTTATTTTTGTCAACATTGCCAGCATTGTTGTAGATCGTAGCATCGACTTGGCTCTCTCCGCTAAAGACGATCATAATGCCGTCGTGTTGCGCGCGGAGGCTGTCCCATCTGACGTTCAGCACGTTATCAGCCCCGCTTTCAAATTTAACAAGCACAACCTTCAATCAGTGCACTGTTGTGAACTTTTCCAGCAGCTCATGTGGCTCTTTCCGCATATTCCTCCCTCTTCTTCTGTGCATATTGGTGACCACGTTGAACTTCTGAATGTATGGACTCGGTGGGCAGCGTTGTACAGTTTCGGACCCCCCAAAAAACAGCCCAGAAAGGCATGGCTGTCTTCTCGGGCCTGGCAGGTCATTCAACACATTGCTCCCCTACGCCGCGCCCGTTTCACAGCCACCACTGCCAGGCGCAATTGTTTTTTAGCGTTTTTCTTGCACGCATGGCGTGAGAATTGCGACAGGACCCCAAATTTCCCAGTGCCCCCTGGATTGGGGGCGGAGGTCCGGAAAGGATTCCGGCAGGAAGCGTGCATCACGGCTTCTATTTTTCAGCTTCAGAAATGCGCGCGCCCCATCATTGATGAGGATCGCCGCGCGTATCTCGACTCCCTCGCTGCGAGCGCCTCGCGTGCGATTGATGCGCACGATGCTCGCCAGGCTTTCGCTGTATTGCGAGCCCTGGGAGCGCGCGCTCCTCGCCCGAGCCAGTGCTTGCGCGATTCCGAAGGCGCATTGACCTCCACAAGTGATCAGGTCAAACGCGTGTGGCAAGATCACGTGAAAGATGTGTTTCGTGGCGAGGTCGTAGACAAAGCTTTACTGAGGCTGCCAATGCCAGAGCCTCTCACGACCGCCCCAGGAGTGGTGACGTCTACTCTGCCGGCGGCGGCGGCGACTAGCCCCCCCCAGCCGCCGGCGAGTTCACTGAATGTTTGCCCCTCGTCTTCCCCTCTTCCTCTTCCTGCCTCCTCCTTCCTCGCCCCGCCCTCCTTCGACCGTCATCCTGAGGGATGCCAGCCAGTCGATTTTGGAACCCCTGGGACGACCAATGAGTGTCCCAGCAGCGTGGCCGTTCCTCTCATACCGCGGGCTGCGAGTCCCACGGGGGCGCCTGCTGCTTCCGAGGGCCAGTCCTCCCTTGATGTAGGTCCCGAGGCCACTCGGCGCGCCTATCGGGCCCTTGGTCGAAACAAAGGCGTCGGCTATGATGGGATCCCTGCCGAGCTGCTCCAGGCTGGGGATTCCGCTCTTGCTGTCAAGTATTCTGACGTCAATGAGCGCACCAAGGCCACAGGAGCTTGGGCTGCTCAGTGGCGCGGGGGGAGGTCCCAAGAAGTTTTTAAGAAAAAGGGTGACCCCCTAAATACGGACGATTACCGTAACATTTTACTCGCCGATCATGCTAGCAAAGGCTTGACGGGTATATTGCAACAGGCTGTGACGCCAGCGTATGTTGCTCACCAGCCCCAGTCTCAGTATGGTGCGATCCCTGGCCGTGGCACGGACATGGCATCACATGTGTTGCACTCGCTCATAGACTACGCGTGCTTAGCGAAGCTTTCGATCTTCGTGCTGTACGTTGATCTCACGAAAGCGTTTGATCGAGTTGTTCGGCAGCTCATGTACGGTTGGGGTGACATGCCTTCCTCTTCCCACCGGTCCCATCTCCTCTCGCTCGGCGTGTCTGAGCCTGCTGCAGATTGGATGCTCGAGTACCTCTCGTCGCACGGCCATCTTCTCCAGCAGTGGGGAGTGGACGAGACTGTAGCATGCATGATGCGCACGTTGCATGAAGGTGCATGGGTCGCAGTCGCTGATCTTCCAACTTGCGTTACGAGCCGCACTGGAGGGAGGCAGGGATGCAAGTTAGGTGCTCTCACTTTCAATGGAGTCTATGGGATAGCCCTGGACATCATTGCCAGACAGCTCAAAGAGAAAGGGGTCACCCTCCGTCTCTCCTCCCCCTCTGATCCCTTCTGGGCTCCTCCTTCTGCTGGCCCTGCTACAGAGTCTGTCCTGGATGCGGCTTTCATTGATGATGAAGCTCTTGCCATCACTGCCACGTCTCCGCAGCAGTTGGATCAGAACATCGATGTCTTGCTGGAAGTGCTGTTTTCTACATTTGAGAACTTGCACTTGCAGTTAAACGCCTCTCCTGGGAAGACCGAGGCTCTTCTAGAGTACCGCGGCCCGAAGGCCACCGCCCGGCGCGAAGCTCGCCGAGATGCAACTGGCCAGTTGAGCGTGAAGGTCCCAGGCAGAGATGTTCACATTCGCATTGTAGGATCATATAAACATCTTGGCACGGCCACTGCCCTCCGCGCCAGTGCCATTTGTGATGCTACTGCCAAGGCTGCCAAGACCCGCGCTGCGTACGCCCCTTTGTCGTACAAAGTGTTTGGTTCTTTGCGCGTCGATCGCGCACACAAGCTGTACTTTTTAAAGTGTCTGTTGATGTCTAAGCTTTTGTTTGGCATTCACGTGCTTGTGCCTTCTGCGAGCCATTTGAAACGTCTCAACGCCGTGTGCATGACAGTGCTTCGACGTATATTTGACGAGCCTCGATTCCAGCACTCCGAGCACACAGATCGCGAAGTGCGCGTGGCATTGCACCAGCCTGCTCTTGAATGTCTGGTCGCCCGTCTCCGGCTGAAGTACTGCGCTCGTTTGCAGCGCAGTCGCCCTGCCGCTTTGCTCGCCCTGCTTGGCGCGAGGCCTGGAGGGCACAAGCTAAAGTGGGTCCAGGCCTTAGAGAGAGATGCCGCGTTCCTTCGGCCCCACCTCCCTGACGGTTTCCCTGCTTTGTCAGTTGACCCTAAGGCCTGGGCGCATCTCATGCATGACGAGGGCTCATGGAAGGTGCTCGTGGACCGCATCTTCTTCTGCGATTCGGTGTGCGATGCGACGGCCGCCCCTCGTCCGACACCCGGTCGCGAGTCTCGCGTTTGTCATTGCGGAGCTGCATTTTCTACGTCGCGGGGCTTGCAGAGCCACCAGCGAGCTCAGCACGGCACTCGCCTGGAGATACGTTGCTATCTTCCTGATTCGAAGTGTCCCGCATGTGGCACCGACTTCGTGCAGCGATTGCGCTTGATCGCTCGCGTGTCCGATTCGCGTCGCCCGAAATGCCGCGATTGGATTTTATTGCACTGTCCTCGTTTGCCAGACGCCGAGGTCGCAAAGCTTGACGAGGTAGATCGCGAACAGCGCAGGTCTGCCCAGAGAGCCGGTCATAGCCACCATTTGGCTGTGGCTCCCGCGCGGTCAGCTGACGGAAAGGTCGTCGGGCGAGTGCGCGCCTGAATTCATGAATTCAGCGATTTGAGTTAATCTTGAGACTGCCATTCCTCGCCGAATAAATATATGTATATATATGTATATATATATAGACTGAAGCTCCTTCTCTCTCGCAGGCATCGCTTCCGGATGATCGTTTTGTGGCAGTGCAGCTGCATTGGGGTATCCAGCGAGGGTCGGTGGCCATGAGTGCATGCGTATGTCATCTCAGGTTTCCCACGGTGTGCTGGGCTTCTCAATCTCATGGGCGCGTATTGGGTCGTGCTCGGCGAGTGGAATCTCCAACCAGATGTGTGGGCTGACGAATGGCTTGAGCAGGGGCGCGGTTTTCTGCCTTGCCCAGATCCCGCGACGCGTCGTAAGAATGCGACTGGAACCGTCTATGCTTATACATTGGCGGCCCACAGCTTCAACGCGCGCTTCAAGAGGCCTGAGGTTGAGCATGGGGCAGCTTTTATTACGCAATCTCTAGTTCGTTACCCGTTGTTGGCTGGTGTTATCCCGACGTGCAGGGGAGTGTTGTCAGAGCCGTTGGGGTTTGCAGCTTCGCCTCCTGTGGGGTGCTCATGTTCCCCAGAAGGCAGGATTGGAGGCAAACTCGTCTTCTTGTTTAAGGTGCCCATGATGATGAATGTCTACGTCAAGCTTGGGGCGCCGTGCTACAGCAGATTTGGAAGAGATCTGGCTGGCAGGCGGCAGCTGCGGGGGTCCAGTCGCACGAGGCATCGAGGTCGCGTTGGTGATGCTCGTTGGAAATGGGAGAAGGTTTCTTGGCAGCCCCCGCGTAAGCGCACCTACATTTCGCACGAGGTCAATCGTTGGCAGGTGGCGGCGAGATGGGCTTCTCACCTTCGACGCGTTCGTGGGCATCTTGGGGGGCATTGTCAGCGGCTTCAGCGTGCTCATGTCACGCGCACCGTCTCGTCGCAGCAATGTTCTCGCGTGGTCAAGATCGCTCGTGAGGCCGCATTCTCGTTGGGGAATGTTGCGAGCTGTAAGAGCATTCTCGACGGGCTTCCTTGCGAGGTTCAGGCTTTCTTCCGCGAAGGCACTGGCATTTTCTCTCGATGATTCGGACAGCGTCATTGCAGGTATTGTGGCGCAGGAGGCCATCAAAGCCAAACGTGCCATCGCGGACAAGCATAAAGCATGGCAGGACTGGGCCGGCAAGTCTGTTCTTCGCGGAGCCAGCGCGGCGCATCAGTTCACCTAGGTGCAGCAGGCCCCCGAGAAGCAACGGCCTATGGCGCATGGAAGTCTACATGCTTTAGCAGATCGTGAGTTGGTTTCTTGGAAGACGGCGTGGCAATACCATGGCTTGGTCGCGCCTGTTCGTCCAGCGGGTTTCGCGTCGTTGGCAAGGCCCCCTGGGGTCGCGGTCGACCATCTTCGAGCGGCATCGCTTGCCATTTTGGCGCGTGCCACTGTCGGCCAGACGGTCGGACATTGCGCCTCTTGCCCTGTGGCATCTCTCGGATGGGGGGCTCGGTGCGCTTAGTCTATTGTGCGCTCGGCGCGGAGATCTCGGGCGGCGGCCCGAGGAGCGCGCCGTCGGCGTTCCTGTCCGACTGGCGAAGCTTGGCGGGTGCAGTGGGCTCATTTGTCTCGTCGATACGTTGCTGCGTTCATGGGCGCGAGTGCGGTCGAGCGTGGCGAAGCGGTGGTTGCGACAGGCTAGCGTTCCCAATATTTGGGGCACTGGAGGCGCTGGCAGATCATCTTCGGCACCGGCAGTGGACCGAAACATTGATGCATAGATGGCTGTATTGTTGCGCGGGCTTTCAGTCACAGCGCTCCATGACCCGCGACAGGCCTTTGAATCGGTCTTCCCGACGGCGTTGTTGGATCAGTCGCGGTTGGAAGGGTTTCCCATCATGCTCGCGTGGATGACCATGCAGTATCTTCTTCAGCCGCAAGCCCTCGCTTGTCACGGGTCTCTATTTGGTTTCGACTGGCCCAGGGTAGTCTCGCGGGATGCAGCCAGTCCACCACGATGCCCACCGTCCTCACTGCCGAGGCGATGCGCCGATTTTCTCGTGATGGTCGCATTCCTCAAGGGCTCGTTGATGATGCATCAGCTCAATGGATTGGGAATTCGGTTCGGCACCTCGGGAGCTTCTGGTCGGTACTCAAGGGGCTTATTGAATACGTTCAGGAAGCGGGGCTTGCTTTTCCAGGCGAGTATATTTGGATTTGTCCCTATTTCGACAGAGGTCATCAAGGCGTCCGAGGCTGCGGCAGATTATTGTCATATTCCGCCTGAGACGCACATGCGAAATCTTGGGCACGAGCTGCGCGGACCTGCTATTAAGCGTACCACTGCCAAAGATCGGATGACGGTGTTCGAGCGAAGGTGCAAGAGGGTCCAGTCGTTTCGGCGCACGGTGGGCACAAAGGTGGTACAGCTATGGCGTGTTGGTTTTCTTCCTTCGGTTGCGCATGGCGCAGCCGTTAGCATCGTATCGGATAAGGAGCTTACAGCGGTGAGGGGAGTCGCGGCTGCGATGGCAGGGCATCCGCGACGAGGGGCCAGCAGTGCGCTTTATTGAGCCGCGCAGCGTGATCCATGGTACGACCCAGTCTTCGACGCCACAGTAGCTCCCGTTTTCCCGTACCACATATTCATTTGGGAACAGTTGGTTGGACTTGGTCTGTTAGAGCGGGCACGGCTCTGGACAACTCTACTCTAGCATGGGGCACTGCGCGAGGTCCGATCGATGTGGTCACGCTATACTTGCAGAGGGTTGGTTGGAATCTGCTGCGGTCTACTGTTGCGCAAGATGACCAAGGCATGCGTTGGTCGCTCTTACAGATAGCACCCATGCTTCTTCATGATCTGTTGCGTGCAGGTATCCTGCGTTGGCAGATGCAGAGGGTCATGGCGCATCATGAGCAGAGTGAGCCAGACGCTTAACTCTGGGCTCGTGGTCTACGCGCGTGCTTGGGTGGACCTACGGCTACGCTCAAGAATCCTGATTTGGCTGGAGCTCTTCGGCCGTTGTGGTCGGGCTCTCTTAGGACGAAGGTACGATTGATGGCGCACGACAAAGTTGATAACGCGTGTTGTCGGGCATGCCATAGGACACGTTTGCTGTAAGTGCGACGCGGTGAACAAGTGGCTCTTAGACAGTGAGGACGAGCACCCGATGCTTGACGAGCTGGCGAAGTCCAGAGGCACGGCCGTTCAGCATGGCACGATACATCGCCCCGTTGTCACCGACGAGTGCTTCGAGCTCAGAGGTGGGTTACTGCGAGGACCTGGTCCCAGTGAGTATGCTGGCTCTGATCCAGCAGTGCATTCCTGGGGTTGTTGGTCAGGCTGTACGTCAGCATGGCCTAACACAGTACTTCCTGATGGGTCTGCGATACCATCTAGCATTCCAGAGTTACGACGATGTGGCTGGGCGTGTGTGCTGATGTCTCCTGTCAGCTATCCTGCGCGGGCTGTGTGTGGAGGGCTGCCAGGTAACCAACAGACCATAGGTGCGGCAGAACGGCGCTGTGTTCTTCAAGCGCTGCGTTACTTCCCAGGCGTTCAATTTCTCATCGTTGATTCGCCGGCCCTCTTTTCGGAGGGCACCAGGTGGGAAGTGTCTGCTACGCTTTCAGGTCACGACATGCTGGTATTTGGCGAGGTATCCAGTTCTTCGCTAACGAGCAAGGTAGTAAGCCTCCTGCTTTTGCTTGGTGCCCGTGCCATTTGGATCTGGGCGAAGTTGCAGTTGGCCTGGCTAAGCGCGAGGCGGATTTCGATTGCGTCTTGGGCAACGCCTGGGCAGATCACTTCGGGAAGCTGGTTGCCGACGACATTGGTTACGCTGAGGGCTGTTGCGATCTCTTCAAGCAGGCTTTGGCGCAAGCTGGCGCATTATGCAGACTGTTTCAGCTGCAGCTATGGGACACTCATGAACGACGGCCTCTGCCTTCCCAGGCTAAGCCGCGCATCGCAGTCTTGGAACATGTGTTTTGGTGGTCTGATGAGATGGCTGAGTGGCGATGCCGTCGATGCGGCGTTCGTGCAGCTACGCCAACTCACCTTTACAATCTCAGCTGGGGAACGCGGAAGCACTGCAGGCCCACGCCACTTCACATTATATAGATGGACCTGTTCTTTGGCACTACAAGGGGGCTTGGCTATCAACCCGTTCGCAGTGAAGCGGTGCACGAGGCGGTAGTTACGGCCGGCTTGGATGCTGGCGTGGGCGAGCCCGAGCACGTGGTGGTGGATCCGACATGTACTCCGCAGTTGGCTACGCATGAGCAAGGGCATGCTATGCAATGGGGTGGGGTGGCTTGCATCTGTGTGAGGTGTGCTGGCTCATCAGTCAACGTGACGCGCAATGTGATTAAGCTCAAAGGTGTTGGCCCTGGCGCTTCGAAGGATCCTGCAGTTCGCAAAAATCCGGTCGAAACCATTATTCGATGATTCGACAAGGCGCGCTCGATTGATTTCCTCGCGAGTGTGGAGGCACAGATGAGGAGGTGACCGTTTTTCGATGGGCGGTGGTGGCTGGTCACGTCTACTTCCTTGTGTTGCTCCTGGGCCCCTGCCATCGGCGTGCAATGCCTTAGTGTCTGCTCCGTTTGCGGTCCTGCACCTATGGCAGGGGCATGGCTTGGGAGCGGATTTCTCGTCCCAGACACTGGATGCCCGCCTGGCCCTTCTGGGGGCGGGCCTGGTCAGGTGCTGGGTCTTCGTGTGCTCTGTGCTGGATGCCCGTCTGGCCCCTCCTGGGGGCGGGCTCAATCAGGTGCTGGGTCTTTGTGTGGTACTCGTCTTCTGGATGCCCGTCGGGCCCCTTCTGGGGACGGGTTATCGCAGTTCCTGGGTCTCAAGTGCAGCTGCGGCTGCGCCCGTCTTGGCGTCGTCCGCAGGGTTTGACCTGCGGCCGACCAGCAGGTAAACCAGGTAATTCAAGAGGATGAGGAGGAGGAGGAGGAGGAGGAGGAGGAGGAGGAGGAGGAGGAGGAGGAGGAGGAGGAGGAGGAGGAGGAGGAGGAGGAGGAGGAGGAGGAGGAGAGGAGGAGGAGGGAGGAGGAGGAGGAGGAACGTAGGAGGAGGGAGGAGGAGGAGGAGAGGAGGAGGAGACGAGGGAGGAGGAGGAGGAGGAGAGGAGAGGAGGAGGAGGAGACGGAGGAGAGGAGGAGAGGAGGAGGAGGAGGAGGAGGAGGAGGAGGAGGGAGGAGAGGAGGAGGAAGAGGAGGAGGAGAGGGAGGAGAACGGGGAGGAGAGGAGGAGGAGAAGGAGAGGAGGAGGGAGGAGGAGGAGAGGAGGGAGGAGGAGGGGGGTGGAGGATTTGATCGCGTCGGGGTGTGGGCCTGGCGCCCTGGCGGGGGGGGGGGCGGGGCTGGAACGGGCCGTCCGGCGGAACGGCGCGGGCAAGGTGTTTTTGATGGGCTTGTTTTCCACCACCACCACCAAACGTTGGAGGGGGAGGGGGTCCTCCTCCTCCTCCTCTTCCTCCTCCTCCTCCTCCTCCTCCTCCTCCTCCTCCTTTTCCTCTTTCTCCTCCTCCTCCTCTTCCTCCTCTTCCTCCTCTTCCTCTTCCTCCTCCTCTCCCTCCTCTTCTTCGTCCTCCTCCTTTTCCTCCTCCCCCTCCTCATCCTCGTCCTCGTCCTCCTCCTCCCCATCCAACGTATGGTGGTCGTGGTGGAAAACAGGCCCATCAGCTTTCACCCAGAGGTCCGAGGCCTGTGGACCGGCTCTTCATCCGGAGTCCTCGCCAGACGGCCCCCGGGGGACCCCAGAGGCCGAAGACATGGAACGAGCTCCTTCGGAGTGTCTTTGCGTGACGGCCCCTGGAGGACTGGCGAAGGCCCCCAGAGGCCGACACCGTGGGTCAACGTCCCGTCGTCCGTTTTTATTGGGGGGTCTGGGTATGGAGCAATCCTGGCCCCACAGCACCGCAATCGGCGTCACCCCAACATACCAATAGTACATGTGCGTCGCCCCCCCCCCCAGGGGCGACGCGCGCACCAAGAAATTTCCTAGTACAGGCGTCGTGGCGGGCGCTTTCTGGCCACGCCGCTCGGGAAACGATCTACACTACAAGCTGGGCATACGAATCATATGCTCGGGTCGGACGCGCGCCTCCGAGGAGGACGTCCAGTACCCGTGTGCCTCTGGGCGTCCCGCCGCCAGGCCGAGGAGGAGGACCAGGACCGACAGGGCCCGCCTGCGCGCCGCCGAGGGCGCGCTGGGCTCGCTGCCGCGGAGCACGAGCGGCCGCCTCTGCAGCGGCGACCCCCTGGCGCCCGAGGAGCAGGGGCGTGCGGCGGCCGCGGGCCCCCCGTGGCCTTCCTCCCCCCGCCTTGCCTGCTCCCCCCCATCGCCTGCCCCCGTCCTCCTCGTCCTCCTCCTGCCCGCTCCTCGCCCTCCCCCGTCCTCCTCGTCCTCCTCCTGCCCGCTCCTCGCCTTCCCCCTCCTCCTCGTCCTCCCGACCCCTCCTCCTGCCCCCTCCTCGTCCTCCCCCTGCCGCCCCCCTTGCTTTGATGCATGCTGGAGTGCGATCGCTTCCCCAGCGGGGGCCGGACTCCTGCCCCGTCCTCCTGCCCCCTCTTGCCCCCTCATCTTTCAGGAGGAAAAGAAACACACAGACACAATTAATCCTCGATTTCCCAGAAAATATGGGAAAATATGGGAAGGGGGGGGCAGACAAAAACACAGAAAATATGAGAAAATATGGGGGATCCTTTTATTTGTGTGTATTTATTTGTGTGTCCCAGTTCCCCTTCAATCTTCCTCTTCTCGGAGGAGAAAAAAAACACAATCAGCATCAACTTTCGGCGCCCACCGCAGGGGGGTCCAGCACAGATCCAAGTCATCCACGAGCAGCGGCAGCAGTTTATGCCTATGGCGTTGTTCTTCTTCGGTCCTCTGCCCCCTTCTCGCTTACACGCACACGCCTCACGAGGAAGTCCAGGACGAGTGTCCTGCGCAGCATCGGAAACCATGGATGCTCGCACCCAGCTCTGTCATGGAGCACATCGGAGGAGCTGCGCTTGTCACCCAGCACTTCACGATTGCACCCGCGGCTCCCGCTGCCCCCTTCTCCTCGTTCTCCCACTCTCCTTCGAAGAGTGGTATGTTTTGGGCGTGCCAGCCTATCCGCAGCAGGCAGCTACATGTGTTTTGTTGTAGGTGCCGGCCTGTCCAACAATTATTTCCGATGGGTAATGTGTAAGAAACGTTCTGGCCCCTATCGCGACATGAAACGTCACGGCCGACAGACGTGTGCGCGCGTGTGTGTGTGTGTGCGCAGGTGTGTGTGTGTGTGTGCGCGGGTGGGTGGGTGGGTGTGTGTGTGTGTGTGTGTTTGTGTGTGTGTGTGTGCGTGTGTGCGTGCGTGTGTGTGTGTGTGTGTGTGTGTGTGTGTGTGTGCGTGCGTGCCTGCGTTCGTGCGTGCGTTCGTGCGTGCGCGTGCTTTTCTGCAATCTTCGGCTCGGGCGCCCTCGCTGGGCCCCCCCGGGACCGAACGCAAAACCGCTCGGGATGAGAAGCTGGCCCCGGAGAAGGGGTCAGGGCTTCCGGGGACCCCCTGGCTGACAAGAGCAAGGCATCGGATGTCTGGCTATGTGCCTGGGGGGGGAGCTGTTTTTTCTAGTGCGATCCTAAGTTGTGATGTTCCTGCAGGGCCAGGCGATCGCAAACGTGGATCAAGCGGGCGTGGATCAGCGACGGGCCCCGTTGCCATGGGAAATCGTTGATTTCCGCCGCCGAACGAGGCGGCACCGGCCGCATTCTGGGTAGGGCACCTCCCCCGATCCATGGAGTTGGCGACCGCGCGCCTAATCCATGGATCGCTAATCCATGTTTGCGCGCCCCCGACATTCATCGCCGATAGGGGACCGATGGCTCACCCCGCCCAGGGGCCTTCGGATTCGCTCTGAAGCACGATTTGGAATACCGCCTTCAAGCTGCTACCACAGCCTTCTACGCACATCGATGGCTACTGACGGATAAGCGCGTCCACGTTGCAGCACGTTTGAAATATTTCAATGCCGTTGTCACTCCGATCGCCTTATTTGCTTCTGCGCACCGCGTTATCTACACATCCGACAGGAGAAAATGTGATATTGCTTGCCGGAAACTGCTCAGACAAATCGTCGGGCCGCCGGGTGGGATCGATTGGACGAGAGCGCGGCATGATATCTTACATGATCGGCATGAACGTGCATGCGATAAATTAGAAGACGCTCAGAACAACTTGTGGTCTTACGTCTTACCCCGCCAATATTGGAGTTTTTTGCTGGGTGTGTCGCAAATCTTCCTGCTGATCGTTGGGTATCACGCGTTCTGAATTGGTCCCCCCTGGGGAGGAAGTCCAAAGGACGACCACGCAAATCTTGGGAATCGATGCACAATCCTTCTGTAAGTAAGACATTCGGGATCGGCAACTGGAGAGATGCAGCCAAAGATGCACGCTCCTGGGCGCGCATGGCAGGAGATTTCTTGGATTACGTGAGTGCTTAGCTTTGTGCCCAGGCTCCCCCCCTCCTCCTCCTCCTCCTCGTCCTCCTCCTCCTCTTCCTCCTCCTCCTCCTCCTCCTCCTCCTCTTCCGTTTAATATGATCGATTCTCTTGTTTGCGCATGGCCGGCTGTGCATCCTAATGCTTGGGGCCCGCAGGCCGCCCCCACTGGAGCTGGCACGCAAGCTGTAATTGTAACTGTTCCCCGCCTGCGCCCTCAGTGGCCGCCCTTCGCGGGCATGCAGGCCTGACCTGACCTGACCTGTTGGACTATTTTGTGGATGTTGTTTATTATGTTTAATTCTTCCTCGAAGATTGGCCTGAAGGGCCCCCGCTCGAACGGGAGCCACTCCTCGGGGTCCGACGATCCGCACCCACGCCCCATAATCACCCATAGAGCACTCTCATGGCCTCGCCCTTCCCCGCTGCTCCTCCCTAGGGGTTTTAGTGTTTGTGTGTGTGTGTGTGCGTGTGCGTGTGCGTGTGTGTGTGTGTGTGTGTGTGTGTGTGTGTGTGTGTGTGGGTGTGTGTGTGTGTGTGTGTGCGTGCGTGTTCCGAGCATTTTCTTTGGGTAATTAGAGGGAAAAGGGTGAAATCTGAAATGCCTGATTGATTTTCTAGGTGCGAAAGCCCGTATGGATTTCATTTTGAGCCCTCCACCCTAAGAAAATGCTCAGGTGTTGTTCTTACAGCAGTGCCGCCGGTTCCAGGTTGATGTTTCCCCCTCCCGAGCTGGCCCCCCCCTGTCGCTGCCCCTCGGAGGAGCTGGACGAGCTCGGTGGGCTGGCGCCCGAGGAGTGGCAGCGCCCATACGCGCGGGCGGGGCGCAAGGGTGGGCTTCTGTCGGAGGCGGCGGTAGGGACGCATAGCCAAGGGGCGGGCACTGCATGCCTTCGCCTGGGAGCCTCGCCGCAGGCATGGACCATCGGTCGGAAGCTGGGCGAGGGCTGGCAAGTCCGTGGCTGCTAAAACTGTCTTCCCGGAAGAAAAGAGCAAATTCCAGGAATATAGCTCAGCGCGCGAAGCAGTGAACGGGCTGCTTCCCCGAAGAAACAACAATTTCCCGTAGTTCTGTTTTAGCAGCCGCGGGTTTGCCAGCCTTCGCCCGGCTTCTGAATCGGCGCCCCGGGACACACGCACTGCTCTCCCTTGGGCTACTCGCCCCCGCCGTCGCTCGCCGGCTCTGTGCACGGAGGCGGCGGGGCCTCCGAGAAGGCACGCGAGCGACGCAAACAAGCGGGGTCGTCTACGCCGACGTCAGCGCGTAAGGTGCCCGCGCAAGGTCGCGCGAGAGCGCCCTCGCTTCCAGCGTGGCGTGCCGCGCAGGCGGCCCGCGCAAGCCGCGGCGTCAGGTCCCTGTGCCATCGCGCGCGAGACCCGTTTCTGAGCGCCGCTCGCGTGAGGGCTTTCTCAGACGTGCCCGGCGGCTTCTCGTCGGGCTTCCCGAAGGCCAGGAGGGGGCGTCCAGGCGGCCCCCCTGTCCCCGCGGAGGCCCCACCGCCCCCTATGGCCCCCTCGCGCCGCCCCCGCCACGTGGGCGCCGCCCGCAGGAGCTGCTAGAGCTGGTGCGGCAGCCGAGGCCCCTTCGGGCGGAGACTTGTTTACCAGCCTCGAACGTATCCCTATCCTTAAGATTGACACGCCAAAAGGCGTGGACAATCTTAGGGATTCGCCCTCAAGATATAAGGGAATCCCTAAGATTGGCATCGTGATGAGGAGGTGCCCAGCATAGGGATAGGGATATGTTCCAGGCTGGTAACTTGTGGAGTCCAAAATCCAGATATCAGACAGCAGGACACCGGAAAGGCTTGGGCCTTCGGTAGTGGGGGGGCGATAAATGGGGGGGCGTCGAGGGTTGCACGAAAGGGACCCTGAAGGGGCCCTAAACTAGCCCCATAGGGCCCCGGAGGGGTACGAAAGGTGAACGAAAGGTGCGCCTTTCTTATCCCCCCCATCTGTCGCCCCCATTAATGATTGCCCGAAGGGCGTGCGAAGGCCTCCCGATGGATTCTGGAAGCTCACGGAGAGAGTTTCCGAATGACCTTCTGGAGAGCTTCCCGGCACACGTATAGGGAAACGCTTCCAAAAAGCCTGCCGGAGCACGCCACCAGCTCAAGCAGCCTGCGCCGAGGTGTCCTGCCGGAAGTTGGAACGAGCTCCAGGGTTTCCCTGCGGCTCCGGCTCCTTACTCTGGGACCATCTTACCCGTCCAATGAGCTGTCTGGGGATGGGAAGTTCTCGGCGGCGAAGTCCGAATCCTATCGTTAAGTCGGGCCTGTCCCCCTACAGGGGGTTTTCGACGAAAAATCACAAATACCCTCAAAATAGTCAGAAAATAATGAAAAAATAGTCTGGGGATTATTTTTTCACCTTTTTGGTATATTTTTAAGGGTATTTTTTATTTTTCGTCGAAAATCCCCCTGTAGGGGGATACGCCCGATATAATCCTATCGATGGGCGGCGGGGGTAGAGCTCGGAATGCATCGAACGCTTGGCGAGATCCGAGCCTTCCATCCACCCCCGCCTCCCATCGGTTCTCGTCGGGGTGCTTTCCAGCGGCTCCGCCTCGTCGAGAGCGTTCCGGGTGTGCCTGGACTGAGGTCGGGCCTGTCCCCCCACAGGTGGATTTTGGACGAAAAGTACAACATAGTTTAGAACATACACTGAGAATTCTTCAAAATAGTCAACAACATCGTCCCCTGACTATTTTTTGGTTATTTTGGAGTATTCCCTCTGTGCAGGGACAGGCCCGACCTAAGCCTGGATCGCCCCTAGCGGCTGCCTGAGGCCCGGAAGGTACGGTCCGAAAGCCACCGCCCCTGCCGGGGGGCGTGCGCCGCTCTGGGGACGAAGACCAACAGCAGCTCCTGTCCATCCTGAGCACGACTCGCCTCCGGTGCAATCCGGGGATCGATTCTCCCTCTCCCCTCCCATCCCTCTCTGCCTGCTCTTCCCCTTCCTTCTCCTCCGTCTCCTCCGCCCTTCTCCCTTAGCTCCTCCTTCCTCCTCCTCCTCCTCCTCCTTCTTTAGCTCCTCTTTGCTCCTCCCTCCTCCTCTCATCATCCCTCCATCTCCCCCTCCTCCCCTTGGGGTCAGGAGGCTGCCTGACTGCATTGGGAGTGCCTGTCGGCGTCGCTGCGGGCGCATTCGATCTGAAACAAAGTCGGGTATAGCCAGGACTCCGGGGTAAAGGGACCCGGTTAGTGGTAGGGCCCTGGGGCCCCTCAGTTGGCCAGATTCACTAAACCAGGTTTGCCGTAGCTGGTGTTTTTCGTGTGACGGCAGTGCCGGTGAGCGGAACGGGGCGGGGGGGGGCGCCCCCCGGTACACATCACTAAACCAGGATCCACTAAACCCAGTTCTGCCAACGCCCGAACAAGTGTCGCCTGCCCAACATCGGCCTCTCCTGGTTTTGGGCTACATCTGCCTGGTGGGCATCGTCCCCATGTTTTTGAACGTCCTGTCCTCGTTCTGGGCGCTGCATGAAGAGAGGGATGGTGGCAATCAGCGGGCGAAGCACTGTACAACATCAGACCTGTTCGCCCTCGTGGACGCCTGCCCCCGAGCGGCTGGACAGTTTATACCCCCACGTACCGCCGCAGGGGTATGAATTGCCCCGCCGCCCTGGGACAGGCGGCCCCCCGATGGCGGACGCATGGATTTGCGAAGGGGTCCGCGCTCGCTGAACACGGCAGCGGCATTAGATAAGGAACGTCTTCCTGGGGCCCAGACCCTGGCGCGTTCCCTGTTGTTTCGAGGCGAGGTGGTTGGCCGACGTTTGGCCGCCCATCGGCCGCGAGGCCCTGGGTTCCAAAGGAGCCGAAGGCCAGCGGCGGGCGCGGAGGTGCTCGCCGCCTCGGGGGCCGGGGGTCCCGCCTGCGGGCTGTGCAAGCACCGTTTGTGCGGTCGTGAATTTCTGCATGCACGGCTTTCGGCCCTCGAAGAGCTAAAAAAAACCTCCACCGTAAGCAAGACCCACCAGTAGTCAAGTTTCGAAAGTCCGCGCATCATTTTTTGAGTCGGCGCTGGACAACATCCGCCTGTAGGAGGACATGCCCGACCCCACACTGGCACCAGCGTCGAGTCTGGGAGGTCTGCGTGGCCATCTCGAGGCGGCACTGCGCTGGATCCCCCTCCCCACCCCCGACGACGCCCCTGGCGACGCCCCTGGCGGGGACGCCGACCACCGCCACCAGGCCTCTACAGCCCCCAGACTCCCATGTCTTTCCTCTTGTTGTCCTCGTGGCCACTACGGAGCCGAATCAACTTAGAAAGGCCGTGGAAGGTCCTCCTCCTCCTCCTCCTCCTCCTCCTCCAGCCGAGGAGCGCGGTGCTGAGACATGCTGGTGTCTCGGTGGGCCCCCCCGCCCTTGAGCAGCTGGTCCCTGCCCGCCCCGACTTGCGACGTTCGTGGTGCAGTCTGTGCGTCCCCCGAGCCGCACGCCGCAGGGCGGAGGCAACCAGGAAATGCCACGAGGAGGGGGAAGGTCCGCAACACCACCAGCGGTCATTCACAGCCCCAGGCCCTTGGACTTCTCTGGAGTGTGGAAGTTTCCGGGCCCAGAGGTGCCTTCCACCAGCTGCGAGGCCGTTCCGGGGGTGCTTGGCCTTCTCCGCGTCGTGAAACAATCACAGCGGAATGCGTTTAGCATCCTTGGCCTCCTCGGGCCCTTGCCGGGCCCTGGTGCCGATAAAGAACAGATTCGGGATGAGCAGCAGGTCCCAGGGATTGGGTCGAGACCACCTTGGGTCCACGTCGTGAAACAAGTGGGACCCTTGCAGCAGAAGACCCTAAACAGCTTCACCCAGGCAACGATGGGGCGTGTTTCTTCATTGGTTGGGGCATAATGGGCATTATAGCCCCCGGCCCCCCTTCCCCCCCATAACGCAACGCCCCTCCCCCCCCAGTGCGCTCCGGGCACTGCCGCCGTGCGCATCGGGCACACGGCGGGGGGGGCGGCGTTGCATTATACCCCCCGGCCCCCTCCCCCCCCCTTACAATGCCCATTATCGCCAAAAATTCACAATCTCGCTCATGGGGGGCAACGATGAGGGGCAACGATGCGGATCAACGAGGCGGGCCAACGGGGGGCAAAACGGACCCTGGGGGCCCGGCATGCCGCACGGGGTGCTGGAGGAAAGATGTACGTGACCCTTGCAGGCAAGCTGGTCGAAGAAACGCGACGCCGGGGGCCTGAGAAAGCTGGCCAGCACCGCCCCTGGGCTCCCCCAGTCCGAGCCAGGCCGCGGTCTCGACAGATACGGCAGCTGGATCGTGCTGCCTCGAGATGCCGCAGCGGCGCCAGCGTTGCGGGCAGGACTTTCGTCCGCATCCGCGGCGTCTTGGATTCGCTGGGAAAGAAAATCCGAGACGCAATGAATATATGGATGCAAATCTTGTCCACAAGCGCGGGCATTGAAGGTTGACGGGCCCCAGCCTGGAGGCTAGCAGAAAGCAACGTGCCGTGCGAGCGTTTGCCCCATGATGGGGTCGACATGTTCCTGGGGACTGCCGAGGGCGGAGCCCGCTGACGGTTGAAAGGCGAATCTCGGCGCACGGCCGGAGGTCCAGGCCAGCGGCTGGGATGCAGCCCGATCTCTCTCCTTCCCGCAGGCTGGCCGAGGCGGGGGAGTATCAGGCACCCCTGAAGCTCGTGGACACTGGCAGGAAGCGGAGGGCGCCAACTGATATGCCTCTATCCAACCACCCCGACCCCGACAGTTGGCGTTCACTGAACAGCCCTAGGCGCTTACTGAGCAGCCCTGCCCCGTTCGATTCCTTCCATGAGTGCGTTTACTGAGCGGCTTCGCTTGTTGGGGTGTTGCTTGTGGGGGTGGATGTCATGCCCTCCCTCTACATCTATTTCCAGTGGAGACCCATGCCAAGAAACACCCTGCTTGCCTCCAGGGTGCCCTGGATTTCTTGGGCTTCGATGGTTTGGCGATGTGGAGAGCGCGACACTCCCACGCCAAACATCCACGTACGCCCTGAGGTCTCAGGGTTGGGTTTCTTGTGGAAGGTTTCTTGTGGTCGGGCCTCCACTGTAACACACGTTCCGAGGATCATCAACCATGACTGGTACCGCAGTGTGCATTCCGCGTCTGGTGGCTGCCGCCACGGACTTTGGCGGCAGCCACCAGACGCCGAGTGCACACTGGTTTAAACTTCCCAGACTCGCTGAAGTCATACGTTATCATACCGATCACAAATTTAGAATGAGAACCTGGCTTTTAGCAGTTTGCCTGCTCCGATGCTGGCCAGGCCGATCCCCCTGGTCCAGGACCAGCGTGTCTGCGCCTAACGGGCCAGGCCAGGAGCCTGTTTTTTTAGACTCTGGCAAGTTTACTTGCATGGACGGGGGGGGGGGAGGCGAACGTCATGCAAGTAAACTTGCCTGAATCCCCCAGAAAATCAGGCTCCTCAGGAGGGCTGGGCTTGTCCCCCGTCCTGGGCCTGGGGGGCTGGGCCCGGCCGGCGCGTCGGTGTGTGCGGTCGGGCGGCAGCGCAGCGGCCTTGGTCTCCCTATGCAGTGGATGGGTATCGTTGAACCGATCCCCATCCCCATCCCCATCCCCTTCGAGAAAAAAACGCACAACACACACTGTGGGAAAAACACACATACTGTTGTGTTTTGTTGTTTTGTTGGAAAGCACCGTGTTTTTTTCACTTTTCCAGTGTTGTTTGTGTGTGTGTGTGCGTGTGTGTGTGTGTGTGTGTGTGTGTGTGTTTTTCACACTGTGTGTTTTTGTCCCACTGTTGTGTTTTGTTGTTTTTTGTTGTTGTTGTTGTTGTTGTTGTTGTTGTTGTTGTTGTTGTTGTTGTTGTTGTTGTTGTTGTTGCTGCTGTTGTTGTTGTTGTTGTTGTTGTTGTTGTTGTTGTTGTTGTGTGTGTGTGTGTGTGTGTGTGAGTGTGTGTGTGTGTGTGTTTTGTCCAACAGAAAGTGTGTTTTTTCCCACAGACTCTTCGAGACCTCCACCACCAAATTACCTCCCCAGCTGGGGATGCACCCCTCGAAACCCGAAGGGCACGACTTATGTATCCCCATCCGGGGGTAAGTCGGCTGGTGGGGCCCAGGCCACGCCGCCGGGGGTGGGGATCGGTGAAACGATACTCAGTCCGTGCGAAGGAACACCCTGCTTGCCTCCAGGGAACCCTGGGTTTCTTCGGTTTCGATGGTGCTGCTCTGGAGAGCGCGACGTTCCCACACCAAAGATCAATTGACGCCCTGGGGTCTTGGGGTCTTGTTGTCGAGCCCCTGCTGTAGATCGACAGCGCACGCTCAAACGAGCGAAGGAAGAACACGGGTTCGATTGCGCGGACATTGGCGCGAAGGCTCCCCGCGTTCAGGTCGCGCGTCAAGCGCCCTCGTTCCCACTGTTGCGTGCCGTGCCGCCGGCCTGCGTGAGCCACCGCGTACGGTCGCTGCGTCATCTCGCGTAAGATCCGTGTTTGGTCGTCGCTCAAATATCATGATCGACTGGTCTTCGTCATAAGAAGCATTCTTTATCGTTCGAAGGGAACAGCGCGGTGGGCTTGCGGGACTGCCGGGACGGTCGGCCCCTGCTCAAGTAATGATAGGTATGCACCCAGACCTTCGACGTCATGCTCTTTGTGAATGACGTGGGCCCTCTGCACCCCTTCCCTGGGGCCAGCTTTTCGTCCCGAGTCGTTCTCTCACGGTCTCTGGGCCAAGTCAGGGCCCCAGGGGGCCAAAGAGAGCAGGAGTTCTCCTGCCGTGATCCACTCCACTGTGCGCGGGGGTCCTGGGCAGCTGGCGCCCTCCCGAGGAACCCGGTGGAGGTGGCGATCACGCCGCCGTCCGTGCTCCTGCACGTCTACAATCTTAGCTCCAGCGTCGTGGCGGCGAACTCCCTACTCACGCTCTCTGTGGACGGCGGCGTGTTCCACGTCGGACTCGAGGCCAGCGCCGGCGCCGGGAGCATGTCAACCGACCTCCGTCCCCAGGCCCCCATCTCGGCATGACGTTCGGCCTCAAGGGGGCCCTTCCTGGACCCTGGGGCCGGCAAAAGGCGACCCCGGATGAAGAGCCGCTCCGGGGGAATGGGTCCAGACCTCCGGGGGTCGCTTTGGTGAAACAATCCTTCGGGGGCTTGCAAGCGGTGTGGTGACCACACCGTGCGGTGAGTCGGTGGGGATTCGGGGTCACCGCACGGTTTTTGGACTCGGGTCGTTCTGCGAGGATGTCTCGGGCGGCAGGGGCCTCCGGGGTCCTGAGACCATGCGGTGACGGACCGTGCAGTGAGGTCTTGGGGGATTTCGAGGCCACCGCACGGTCTGTCACCGCACCGTTGCAGGACTCCAAAATGGCGTCGGCCGACCTCCGTTGGATCTTCGTGCCTGCCGTGGGGGTCGGCGGTCTGGCGGGGCGAGGCGGCGCGCCTGGAGGTCCTGGCGGCGCAGTTTTTTTTCTCACAAGGGGCGACCGTGCCTTGCGTCGGTCCCCAGCACCGTCGCAGATCGATGCGGCTCGACACGTACCTCGCAAAGGAGGGGGGGGGCACAGGGGGGGGGGAGGTCGGTCCGTTGGCGCACCGAACTGAAGAAAAACCATGCAAAACGAGGTCTCTGTGCGCCGCCGGAACCCGAGAGGCGTCGACAATCGGGGCGCGCGGGGGCATCGCTTTTCGGACATCCGATGCCCCAGCGGATCGAACTCACCCCCTCCCCCCCGGGTCCCCCCCCCTTTGGTGGGCTCCCAACATGGGGCCCATGGCTCCGCCCCGGTCGTGAATCTCCTCTTTTTTGATTAGCGGCCCGCAAGGAGAAGTCCAGAGGGCGGTATGACCGAGGCTGGGGCACAGCGCAAGATAATTGGCGCGAGAACGCGCGAAATGCACTTGCAAACAAATTAGGAAGAGGTCGTGGATCTCCTCGATGCTGCATTTTTTTCGCGACGTCGGCTGATCTCAGGGCGCCGCGCCTTTGTGGGCCACAAGGGCGGGGCGATCACGAGGCCCTCGTGCTCGTGCTCTCGCCCCTCCGAGCGTCGCCTGCCCAACTCCTCGAGCTGTTTTCTGGGGTGATGCTGTCCTGGCTCTCGCCGATTATTATCAGGAGGGGAAAAAACACACAGACACAATGAATCGTCCACTCCCAGGAAAATATGGAAAAACATGGGAAGTGGGGGGGAAGACAAAAGCCCAGAAAATATAGGAACATATTCTGGGAATTTACCTAACAGCGAAGACTGATAGGTTTCTAATGGTGTAAAAAGAGAGCAGCACATTACTCCACAGGGGGGTCTGGGCAGCCGTTGGGGACGAGTTGGGGGGCCGTTGGGGGGCCGTTGGGGATTGCCGGGGAACCTCGTTTTTCGCAAACAGTCACACACTTCGTGCTCTTCGACCTCCCAGAACTCCATTCTTCGACCTCCCAGAACTCCATTCCCGGGCCACATTCTGAATGCCCGGAGCCAACGTAGTCCACTTCGTGCTCTTCGTGTTCCCAAGAACTCCATCCCCGGGTACATTTTGAATGCCCGGAGCCAACTGTAGGCCAATTCGTGGTCGTCGAGATCCCAGAACTACCCATTCCCTAGTTGCGGGCCCATTTTGGATGCCCGTATCCAACTGTAAAAGGCCACTTTCTTGTCTTCGGAGTTCCCAGAACACCATGTCCCCCCCCCAGGCCACATTTGGTAAGCCCAGAGCCAAGTGAAGCCACATCGTGCTCTTGGACTTTCGCAGAACTCCAATCCTGGGTATGAATTTTGGATGCCCGGAGCAAACTGTAGGCCACTTCGTGTTCTTCGAGTTCCCAGAATTCCATTCCCTGGCCACATTTTGAATGCTGAGGCAGGCTGATGCTGAGGCTGAGGCAGGCTGAGGCAGGCTGAGGCTGAGGCCGAAGCTGAAGGCATACTCAGGCTGAGGCTGATGCAGGCTGAGGCTGAGGCTGAAGCAGGCTGAGGCTGATGCAGGCTGAGGCTGAGGCTGGCTGAGGCTGAGGCTGAGGCTGATGCAGGCTGAGGCTGAGGCAGGCTGAGACTGAAGCCGAGGCTGAAGGCAGATTGAGGCTGAGGCTGAAGCAGGCCGAGGCTGAGGCTGAGGCTGAGGCAGGCTGAGGCTGAGGCTTAGGCAGGCTGATGCTGAGGCAGGCTGAGGCTGAGGCTGATGCAGGCTGAGGCTGAGGCAGGCCGAGGCCGAGGCCGAGGCTGAAGGCAGACTGAGGCTGAGGCTGAAGCAGGCTGAGGCTGAGGCTGAGGCAGGCTGAGGCTGAGGCTGAGGCAGGCTGAGGCTGAGGCAGGCTGAGGCCGAGGCCGAGGCTGGCCTGAAGCAGTCATGCTGATGACTGAATCCGAAAGGCTGAACGGCAAGATATGAGGCTGAGGCAAGGCAAGGGCAGGCTGAAGGCTGCGGCTGAGAGCAATGGCTGATGTCTCGAGGCAGGCTGAGGCTGAGGCTGAGTGCTGATGCTGACCGAGATTAGGCAGCCTGAGTCAGAGGCCGAGGGCTGAAGGCAGACCTGATGCTGAGGCTGATCGATGCTGAGGCTTGAAGCAGGCTGAGGCCTGAGTCCATGAGGCAGGCTGATGAGCAGGGTCTGAGAGCAGGCTTGATGCTGACATGCTGAGGCGAGGCGAGGCAGAAGCAGCTGAGGCTGAGACAAGAGGCCGAGGCCGATGCCGAGGCTGAAGGCAGACTGATGCTGAGCTGCAAAGAAGCAGGCTGAGGCTGAGGCTGAAGGCAGATTGAGGGCGAGGCTGAGGCAGGCTGAGGCTGAGGCTGAGGCTGATGCATGCTGAGGCTGAGGCAGGCTGAGGCTGAGGCCGAGGCTGAAGGCAGGTTGAGGCTGAGGCTGAAGCAGGCTGAGGCTGAGGCAGAGGCAGGCTGAGGCTGAGGCTGAGTCTGCTTATGTGATGCAGGGCGAGGCTGTAGGAGCTAGAGGCAAGAAGGCTCAGGGCCTTGAGGCAGGCCTGAGGCTGAGCCGAGGCTTGAAGGAGAGCCTGAGGCTGAGCTGAAGCATGACTGAGGGGCAGAGGCGAAGGCAGGCAGATGCTGAGGCTGTATGATGCAAGGCGGATGCTGAAGCAGGCTGAGGCCGTGCTGAGGCTGAGGCTCCTGCAGGCAGAGGCTGATGCGAGGGCCGAGGCCGAGGCTGAAGGCAGACTGATGCTGAGGCTGAGGCAGGCTGAGGCTGAGGCCTGAGGCAGGCTCCTAGGCTGAGCTGAGGCAGGCTGAGGCTGAGGCTGAGGCTGAGTTGGCTCAGGCTGAGGGCAAGGCCGAGGACTGTACGGCCGAGGCTGAAGGCAGACCTGATCGAGGCTGAAGCAGGCTGATGCTGAGGCAAGGCTGAGCTGAGGCTGAGGCCTGAGGCTGAGGCCTGGGCGATGCTGAGGCCAGGCTCAGCTGAGGCTGAGGCTGAGGCTGAGGCAGGCTCAGGCTGAGGCAGGCTGATGCTGAGGCCGAGGCTGCAGGCAGACTGAGGCTGATGCAGGAGCAGGCTCAGGCTGAGGCTGAGGCAGGCTGAAGCTGAGGCTGAGGCTGATGCTGAGGCAGGCTGAGGCTGAGGCTGAGGCTAATGCAGGCCACTGCGACTGTCATCGCGAATGCGACTACGACTGCTAAGAACAGCAGAACTCTACAACTGGATTCTCATCTGAAATCTTAGGGGATGCTTCCAGATATGCTCCTACACATCGCTGTTAGGTGCATTTGCCTGGGATAAATTTCCTAAACAGCGAAGACTGATAGGTTTCTAGTGGTCTCAAAAGAGCTCACAGATCACTCCACAGGGGGGTCCGGGCAGGTGTTTGGGCGTTTCCGGGCGGCATGAGCCGGGCTCGTTTTTCACCAACAGTCACACACTTCGTGCTCTTCGCCTTCCCAGAACTCCATTCCCAGGCCACATTCTGGGGGGCCGGATGCAACTGTAGGCCACTTCGTGCTCTTCGACATCCCAGAACGCCATACCCGGGCCACATTCTGGGGGGCCGGATGCAACTGTAGGCCACTTCGTGCTCTTCGACATCCCAGAACGCCATTCCCGGGCCACATTCTGGATGCCCGGAGCCAACTGTAGGCCACTTCGTGTTCTTCCATTTCCCAGACCTCCATTCCCGGGCCACATTTTGGATGCCCGGAGCCAACTGTAAGCCACTTCGTGCTCTTCGAGTTCCCAGAACTCCATTCCTGGGCTACATTTTGGATGCCAAGAGCCAACTCTAGTCCACTTCCTGGTCTTCGAGTTCCCAGAACTCCATTGCCGGGCAACATTTTGAATAGCCAGACGCTTCATATTCCTTCCGCCACAGCTGTGTTTGGTTCAGGACTTGCTAGTGACACTGCAGTCCTCTGCATTCAATTGGCCACTACATTCATTCACTGCAGTCCACTGAGTTTTGATTGCAATGGCGTTCCCCTGGCCGTACCCCCATGTCCAACGTTCATCCGCAGCCTCTGCTCCGCGAGGCTCGTCCGAAGTGTCGCCGCCTCGCGGTGCTTCTCAGCCTGCGCCGCCTCGCGGTGCTTCTCAGCCTGCGGAGGAAGGTGGACAGACGCCTGGTTCTGGCGCTGTGCAGCCTGCGTCTTTCACGGTCGCCTCGTTCAATTTCGGGTTCGAGCGGGGCATGATGACTGGTAAGCAGGCGGCCACTCACTGCGCTAACTTCGGAAGGTTGTGCGCCACGATAGTGGAGACCGCTGATGCTGATATTGTCTGTGGCTGCGAGGTCGGTGCGTTCCGTGAAGGCTTTCGCCGAGCAGGGATCAACGTGACAGAGATCCTCATTAAGCCTTTCGGTGATGGCATTCGCTTCTTGGAGGTCGACAACTACTTGACTCTCTGGGGGTTCCGCGGTGCTTCTCAGCCTGCGGAACTGACTCTGTGCGAAGACAGCAAAGTTTACAGGCCTCCTAGCGGCCGAGATATTGATGCTGTTATTTTACATTTTGAGGTGA